AAAAAAAAAAAAGATAAATCCATACATCATAGGTAGATGAGGGAAGCAGGAACAAAGAAAAAGGTGAAAGAGGAATGTATTAAGTGCAGGGAAGAGAGCAGATGTCTGCCCAGTGAGGAATCCATTTCCCACTGCTGTTTTATCCCATAGAAATTTGTCAGCTATTTAGTCTATTAACCTGGAACAGCAGGATATTTCTCAATAAGTATTTCCAATTCTGACATTTCTGCACCAGAGAAATTTTTCACGTTGTGGTATTAAGTCTACAGAAAGTGCAACTTATTGCTTAGTAAATATCTACAATTCAGACATTTCTATAGTAAAGGCAATGCATTTTCATGCATTGTTACTGAACCCTCAAAAAAGAAACCATACTCTGTTGTTCCCTTAGGCAACTAACCTTTTGTAGAGGCATCTGTAATGGTGCAAGCACTAACCGTTTCAAGTTCTTCAGTTTTCTCTTCTGTTGAATGATTGAGAGACACTGTAAATTGTATCCAAACTATATAAAACAAATATTACACAAAACATACCTATAGCTCTTTTCCCAGCAGTAGGTAAGCAGTATTGGAGAATCAGATAGCAGGTCATTAATTCTGAGATTAACTTGAAGAGAAGAAGTAGCTTTCTACATGTGATTGCAGGAAAAAAAACCAGGATTGTTGAGTTTTGTTTTCTCTCCCTTTTGAAATGAACTTTACATAGGAAAAGAATAATTTTAAAAGTGACCAAAAAATAACCAGAAAATTGGGGGGGGTGGGGGGGGACGGAATCATGTTTTGTGTTTTCATAAAAGTTATTTCAAGCTTTCTTCTGGCAGGCATGTATACTCATGTCCCTTGAACTATTTTATCTTAGAGAAAGGTAGACTCACACATAGTAGAGGGGTTTTTTTAGGTTTGGTTTTGTTTTCTTTTCTTTTTTGGGTAGAAAACTCCCGGTGCTTAAATAGTTGAATTAAGGTCATGTATGCTAGGTGCTTTTGAATATCTTGTCTTCACCTAAGTGCCTAAATATCATTTTTACTGTACTTACTTGTTCCTACTAGGTTCTCAAAGGACAGGGAAAAAATCTTGGAAGATGCATCGCCAAGAATAACGTTGCATTTGTACCACAACACTGTACCTGGTAGAATTATGCTGACTGTAGTCTTGTTCCTCTTGTGCACAGCCTTGCAGGTCACCTCTGCATCTGGTTCCACTCCAACTACCTTCATGGTACTATACATCCCCTCAGATGTGACAAGAGGTGTCTTCAGATCATATACAATGTCACTCTTGGGCACATCAAGGCTGATGTTCTTGGGGTAGAAAGTCCTTGCCAAACAAGCCATGTTCAGTTTGTTGTCATATTGTCTGGCTTCCTTTGATTTAAGTACAATGACTTCTGGGGCAGATTCTTCTTGACTGTCTGAAAAACAAACATCATTTTGGGATGACTTTATTTTCTGCATACTTTTCAGAGAGCTAAATCATCTATGGATCAGATATAGCCCAGCCATGTCTGTCCCCTGAGTGTCTTTCTGCGTTTATTTCTTCCTCCTGTTTCCCAGACAGAAAGGGAGTGTGAGAGTGGAATCTTCATGGGAGCTTCTAACCCCTTGGGCTTCTAAGCTTGTTTTTATCAGAACTCTTATTATATATATTGTATATGTAAGTGAATTCCTTTAAGTGAGGGACCTTGAAATGAGGAAGGAAACTTTTAACAACACAACACAAATGATCATATTAATTTTTAATTCATAGCAATTTGAATGCTAAGGAGAACGTTTACTTCAAGGGTAGATTTATATGCCTGTAACAAGATACATATTAAAAGATCCATTTTTTGTTACCCAAAAATCCTTTACCTGATGAGGCTAAAAGGCTTAACCATAGCACACAGGGAAATAAGATAGTTTGTTACTTCATTCTACAGTGCTGTTCCAAAGAGTGCAGATACAGAATAATGTTGCTAAAATGCAAGATGAGGTTAAATCTTTCATTAACAAACATTCAGTTCCAAGGAGGTTTTCTTTCCAAATTCAGTCCATTGAAAGTTTTTCTAATAGTTCTGTGTGAAACTTGACCCAGGCATATAAACCTCTTTTAACAAGTGAATAATGTGACCTCTGGAGAGATTTCCAAGTCATGAGACAATCTCACTGCATAACACTGAGCCATCTTAAAGAACACCACCAGGGTGTTTAACAGAGGAGTTTAGTGCCATTCCAAATACACCATTTATTCTGTCTTCTCTCTGGCTGTGTTTTCTGAAAGAAACAGATCTTTTGTAGATCCTTAGGTTATCTTTGTACTGGGGGTGTGTGTCTGTGTGAGTGGTTATATTTGTATTGTTCATAAAAAGAAGTTAATATACTTAGGTGAACAACTGTACTTCTTTTTCCTCTTAATCTTACAAAATCACAGAATTTGCTATATATTCCATCCTCTTGCGTATCTTGGCTTCCTCCAGCGAGAAGTATACAGAGAATGAACTAAGTAATTCCTTAGGTATTCTCTTACTGAATTCTTGGGAGAAGGTGTCTCAAGAACTGTGTAGTGATTAAAGGATATTTTCCGTCTTTTGTGCTTGGAGATTCTCAGGAGGCCCAGCTCCTGCAATGTTCTCAGCTGTTTTAAGGACTTTTGAATATCTTCCATGGGGGGGGGGAAAAAAAAAAAAGGACTAAAAAATGTCAGAATACCAACATTCTAGAAACCTGGAAAATCTATTCTTGTCTTTGGAGGAACCAAGTTTCTAAAACCTACTGTTTGGGAAAAGACATTTTTTCCCTCTTTCCTGAAGAACAGGAATCATGAAACTACTGATATAACAGGTCTGAAATACAGTTTGGTTTAAAAAGCACACAAGATATTTTCTGTGTAGAAACTGAACCTCACATTAGGCTACTGTGTTTGAAAAGGCAACACCGTTACTTCGATTTTCATTCAGCAACAACTTTTGTTGGTTGGTTGTTCACGGTAGAATACCTTTTGTACTGATATCTGGCAAGTTTATGTTAGCGTAGATTGAGGTCGGGCTGATGGAAGCTGGCAGTATCTTGGTGTCCTACTTTTACAACTGATATTTTCAAAATAGTATTTGGATTCCCTACTCCCACAAGAACTGGAGCTGTATTCACTTACCCCAAAACAGGCATGTAAGATGCCCTAAAATTTTAACAGCAGCTGTTTTGCTATATGGTGCTTGCAGATACGAGATAGTACCTAAGAGAGTCCCATGCCTGTCTGGGGAATGTGTGTGTTCAGGCAGTGGTATGCAACTGAATGTTTTAGGACAATAAAAATCAACCCAACAATCCATTGCCCCAACTTTCACCCTGTCACACAAAAGCCGGGGGAGATGGCCCATCCTTACAAAGACCACACTCAGAAGAGTGCCATTTCTAAATATAAAAGTCTTGCTCACATTTCAAGCAGTTGCTGCAAAAACGAATATGCCCTGTTCTTCCATGGGAACTACTTTCTTCTGAAACTCTTTACATCTCCTTTTTTTTCCTTTCCACACACCTTAGTGTTATACAAAAGAATGCAAGCAACTACTGTCACCTCATACTGAAGCTGGGCTAAGATACCATCTCCACCAGGTATAAACAACAGTCTTAAATGTAGCAGTGAGGCTACAGGGCTGGGTGAGGTTCTAAGGAGTAATGTTGAGGCACATAGCTAGGAAACTGCCTTTGCTGTTCCTGAAAAGCTTTCTTAAATAAATATGAGCTGAGGACTCAAACACCTGGTAGGAGAATGCATGTTCAAGAGATCTGAGGCAGCAGAAATTTCTCCTTATGCTGTCATGTCACAGAATTCCTTTGTCCACCCCACCACAAACTCAGGAAATATATTTATAGTAAAACAAGTGGAACTTACTTGGCTCAACTGAAAAAGTGATCCCAGTTCCAAATACGAGCTTGTCGGTTGCCACACTGTTTGCGCATAGTCAAATAAACCCACTTTCCTCACCACACCCTAAAGGTGTATAAAATCAGGAAATAAAATGCCAGCCATTTGTCCAAAGAATCCATACATGGACTGCCATGAAAGTGCTCTGAAGTCATCATTGTTTCCAAAATTGTGAGGGAAGAAAACAATAATTTCACAGTAGAGTGATTTCAAACAACTTGATGCAGGCCAAAGCTTTTAAACTCTTTTCCTTTTCTATTGGTTCAGTAAGCAACATACTTCCAGAATAAATGCCCACAGGAATTCTGCAGTTCTTTTCTTCAGCGCATTCCCTTTTTCCTTTCTTCCTCAAAATGTATTGTTCCTTTTGCAGTCTCGGGTTTTTGTATGAGACCTTATAGTGTTTGTGTCACTGTGCTACTCCAAGTTCTCAACACAGTGAAATACTTCGTTAGCAAAAGTGCCTCTTCCTTTTCCTGCATAGTATCTTAAGAGACAGGTAGTCATATACCCTACATACCACATAAAGAAACCACATAGACTTTAAAATAAGGACCTGAAGCTGGGCAAAAAGAGCAGATTTGAACCTGCTTGAAACCTGTAGGATTATAATGAAGGATTATAATGTTGTTCTGGGAAGGCTCAGATTTCAGTCTAATGAAAAAGCAAAAATTGTTTCAGTATTATTCTACAGCAATTAGCAAAACTCTCCAGAGTTGCGGAAGTGTTCTGTGGGGTTTTTTTGGTTGTGTTTTCTTTTTTTTTTTATTTCCCCACTTTGAACTATTTTTTGTGGCCCTGGAAGAAGAGGAATACACTCAATCTGGTGTTTTAGAGTTCTTATCTTTCTGGATGGGCCAGTGCTGAGGGTCATTTGGTGCCTCAGGAAGACTTTAACATGCTTTTGGTGCCTATAGAAGTGAAAAGGAAATGATTGTTCTTTATTAGATAGAGATATATTGTTCCATGAGAGGAGTAATTAAATAAAGATTTTGCTCTGGATGATACAGAGTGGATTGATTGATCTAATCCTGCATGATGACCAAGTTCTGCATGATGACCAAGTTCTGCATCCTTAGTGCCACCTGCAGCTAAAGACTTATATGAAGCATAATATGCAAGTGAAGATAAATTTTGTTTGAATACATTCCTCATGTGTAGGCTGGACAGCCAAGCAACTGCCACTTCAGTGATTACTGAGGAAGCAGAGCTATGGTGGCCAGATACTGTCTGTTGCCGAAGATGCTATAAAAGATAACCTTGCAATGCAGGGATGTAAACACAGCCAGACACACGCATGGTAGAAGTAAATTGGCCCAAGAGTGGGTGGGCCCTGCTCTCTTCCCTGAAGATATTAGTTGACTGAGTGATTTCAAGCAAGCTCTAAGGCTTCCTTAGAGTTTAGCAGCAATGGAGACTCTGCAGGTCCCATATCCCCAGGAATTTATAGCCCATGAAAGTGTTTAAGAATGAATGCATGAACTTAGGTTTTCCATGACAGTGAGGTAAGTTAGTACTGTCAGAAACTCGAAAATGTTCCTTGAAGTGGTCTTTGAGGGGAAAATGAATGGGAAGAGATTGCAGCTGTTACAGGCAAAGACAAGGAGATCATGATCTGTGCCATGGAGAATATTAAACATGCAGTTCAAGAGAGAATTCATGCATGATCTCTTAAATCATTGAGCTGAAGGAGAAACAGACGTGGAAAAGGGGTGAAGGGGAGAAATATAATACAAGACTGAGATGGTGGACAGAGGGGCATTGTTTGCTGCAAGCTGAAATGAAGGTAGAGGGGTCCATTTCAATGACAATGCTCGATAGTGGACTGCAGGGTCATGGCCTGTGTGGCTGGTCAGGGAAAACTGGAACTGTCTTCCAGCCATATGTTGTTAGAGTCTTCTTACTTAGCTTCTAGGAGCTGCATTTGAGGTAGCCATCTGAATGTCGTGAAGAGAGAGCCATGCCCCAAATGCAACTGACTGAGCTATTTCGTCTGTCTAAAATACCTTGGGAACTGACAAATTTCTTCTTAGAACCACTTGTTTCTCTGTAATGGATTCAAAGAGGACACAATGAGTAACTTAGATGAAAAATTCTAAACTGTGCCAGGTAAAAACCTATCTGCTCAACTGGTGTTGATAATTATATATTCCAAGTCAAGTGGTCTCTAACTCAACGTCCATAATTGAGTGCAAGAAAAACTGGCATGGCATATTGTGATTGACTCACAGCTTGAGTCACAATCAGCATCAAATGTGTTCTTCAGGATGCAGCTGACTGTGAGAATATGACATTGTGAGGAAGTGGAGTATGTTGTACCACCAGGTTTTTCAGGAAGTCAGTTTGTGTCGGGTCGTTCAGTCCCCTTCAACCACTGTGATACCTAGTCCACACAGTGATGAACAGTCATACAAAAACGTTTGTGTTTTCATTTCAGTCTCAGATGACACTCATTCTTTGATGTCTTTTGAATGCTGCATTTCATATTCCTCTGCTCATTTATTGCTGGATAATCAAACCACACAGCAATTGCCATAAATTAAAAATAGCATTGTCAGCATCACTTTTATGCTAGATGAAGTTAATAATACAACTCTCTTACTGAAACACTGTACATGCTTGGTGACTCTGAATATGGATTGATTTGGATTTAAGTGCCCTTTTAACTCAAATTACTTCATTCCAGACATATTTTTGATGAACTTCTAGAGATATAAGGTAAGATATTTTCGTAAGAACGTCAAGAACCAGCTGCCCCAAACACATTAACTGCCAGTTTAATTTTTTCGTACGTATCAGGACTATTTTGAACTTAAAATTGTTTATAGGTCTAATATTGCAAGCTCTAGCAAAATGAGTCTCTGATGCACAAGTTTTTCAGAGCTAATTTTGCTTGGTATCACTGTGTCTTTTTCTGTGTGGATCTGCTAAAATTTGTTGGGGGAGAGGGGGTAGTGGTGTCAGAGGTGATGGTGGTGCTGTTTTTCCCAGAAACACAGAACGGGTGAGGATGGAAGACTGTCAAGTCCCAGCCCCCTGTTCGAAGCATGGTCAGCTAAAGTAAGTCCCTAAGGACCATGTCTATTTGAGCTTTGAATATGGAGACTCCACAACTTTTCTGGGCAATCTGTTCCAGTGCTCAGTCACTCTCACAGTAAAAACCCTTTTTTTACATTTAAGTGGAATTTGCTGTATTTCAGTTTGTGCCCGTCTCCTCTTGTCCTGTCCCTGGGTACCATTCAGAGTCTGGCCTAATCCTCTTTACTCTGCTCCATCCGATACTTATATAGACAAGATCCTGTGGAGATACAGCAGCAGGACTGACGTGATCCCAGCTGGGTTGAGCTAGATGGTAGGTGGTATGATCCGAGGTGATTTGATCCTGATAACAGACAGATCAATCCTAGCTGGTTTGGTGAGCAGATTAGCCAGAGTTGGTTCGAAAGTAGCAGCTGGGGCAGTACTGCTGGAGGCAGCATATTTGAACAGCCTTAGGCAAGCATATTTGAATGGCCTTAGATAAGCATGCTTGGATGACCTTGACTCTGATTCCCTGTGACCTTGAGTGGTTAGGCAGTTGTAAAAGAGGAACAAAGAGATGAAAAAAGAAGAAGAAGGAAACAGAAAACAAGACTCAACTAACGGACGGCTTGGCACGCCAACAGCAGCATGCTACCAATCAAAGAGCAGCACTCACCGCATGGATACAAGGCTTTACCCTATCAGCACACGCTAATAGCACATGGACAGCTATTTTAGATATAAAAAGAGCACTGTGATTGTAATAAAGGTCTTTGGTTCAGCATTATACCACAGTCCATGCCCTTTTTAACTCCGCAAGATCCCCCTGAGACACTTTTCCTCCAGGCCCTTCCCTGGACTCTCCCCCGTATGTCCCTGTCTCTCTTGTACTGGGGAGCCTAGAACTGGATACGTCACTCCAGTTGTGGCCTTAATGTGCTGAGCAGGGGGGAAGAAAATCACCTCCCTCAGCCTGCTGGAAATATTCCTTCTAATGCAGTCCAGGAAGCTTTTGGCCTTCTTTGCTATAAGGGCACTTTGCTGGCTCATGTTCACTTTGTTGTCCATCAGGACCTCCAGGTCCTGCTGCCAATTTGCTTTCGTATTTGTTGGTCCCCAACATGTATTGGTGCTGAGGCTTACTCCTCTCTACATGTAGGACTTTGCATTTCCCTTCACTGAATTTCATGAAGTACCTGTCTGCCTAGTTCTCCTGTTGAGGTTCTTCTGAATGGTAGCACACCAGTTTTGTGTCATCTATAGGCTCACTGAGAGTGCATTCTGTCCCATCATCAAGATGATTCATGAAGGCGTGAAAGCACATCAGACCCATTCTTAATCCCTGAGGTGGTAATGGCCTCCAGCTGGACTTTATGCTGTTGACCACAACTCATTGAGACTAGCAGTTCGGCCTGTTTTCAGTCCAACTCATTGTGCATTCATCTAGCTCATATGTAATTAGTTTGTCTATGAGAATATCATGGAAGATAGCATTGAAGGGTTTCCTAAGATCAAGATAAACAACGTTCACTGCTTTCCTCTCCTCCACCATGCCAATAATCTCATTGCAGAAGGCTATTATATTGGTTAAACACAATTTCTCCTTCTTATATCCATGCTGACTACTCCCAATGATCTTGTCTTTCATACACCTGAAATGTTTCCCTGGATTCTTTTTTCCATTATCCTCAGGGATTGAGATGAGGCAGACCAACCTGTCATTCCCCATATCCTTCTTGCACTTCCTGGTGTGCCAGTAAGATATTTACTTTTTCCAGTTCTCATGAACCTGCCCTGATCCCCATCACCTTGGAAAGATAATTATGAGTGGCCTCATGTGACATTGGTCAGCTCCCTCAGCACTTGTGGGTACATCCTGTCAGGTCAGAAAGTCTTGTGTGTGTCCAGCTTGTTTAAATGTTCTTTCAATCAGATCCTCATCATCTGAGGAGGACCTTGGTCTTCCTTGCTCTTGCCTTTCCCACTGACCGCAGGGGCCTGG